CCTTCTCTATAACATTTCGGACTGCTTACTGCTTTTTCTGCTGCTTTTCTCCGCTAATCAGATACTTAGCACTTTTTTGTGCCTATTTGAGTTCCGTTTCCCGCAATTTGCGGTCGCGAACTGTGCCTTTAAAGGCAGTTGGCACGATAAATCCCCCAAGGCGACTAGGATCAATACTCCAGGATAGAATTCCGCGACCCTGGGCAGGCGCTGCATAGCGGTTTCCCCGAGGAAGGTGCCCTTATAAGGGCCCTATCAAGCCACAACTTTACGTCCCAAACGCCCGCCACGCCCGCCCGCCCACAAATGGACGACCGTTCCTGACGCTCGTATTCATTCATTTGCTAAGCAAATTATGAAGCGAAGGGATTGGTATGAAGCGGCCGTGATGCTGCATGCATACATGGGTACACATATGCAGCCGTATCTTCGGTAGCGGTGATTGGTAAGATGCCTACGGGAAACTCGTCCGAAATCGATTTACAAGTCACTGAGAACGGAGGCTTTTTCTTCGCAGGATTTTGACCGTTTCACTCCGTTCTTTCGCCATTTCCCCACTATACAGCGCCCTACTAGCATTTTAGGCTAAGTAGGAAACCATCGTGCCAACTGCCTTTAAGTGCCGCCACAGCTATTAATAGTGGAGAATGAGGGGAAAAGGGCTTTTAATACGGACATATGAGCTTGAGCAGAGGTCTTGTTCCCTTTTGAGAAGACGGTAGGGTCCTCGGAGAGATCCTTGTTATTTTTCCAGAATTCTAGCTAGACATACTTATTGGAGATTGTTAGCAACTCGACCCGTGAACAACAAGTTCGAGTGGGACCCCAGGAGAGGAGAAGGGGATGTAGTGGTAAGAAGCGTGCTTTCTACGAACGCGGTCTAGGGATCAAATCTAGGATCAGCTTTCGTCTAAGCCGACCGGGCCTTCCACCTTCCGGGAATGGCGAACTAGTACCCGATTCAATAAGCACACTGACTCATCTATTGACTGGCCCCCGCAAGTCGCTGTATAAGTCTCATCGCACTCAGTACGTTACAATGATTCTGAGTGGACAAAAAATGCGTACCGCATCTCAACATTCCAGTGAAGAATCGATCATGGACGAAGGTATTATGGTGTAGCATCTTCCGCTTACCGAGTAGTTGCCTTGGCCTTCTGCCAAGAATCCTGGGTGTTCAACCTGCGGCAGATCATTGGCCGTTTTCTCTTCGGAGCCGTAAATTAAGCTCAAGCCAGCCGATTCTCGCCTTTAGGTGAACAGTTTTCTGCTCGCTTGCAAAGAAATAGAAATATTTGTACAGGCAAGGGCGTGTCGTTGTATAATCCCAGCACGTAGTCGCATGCCTATAATTTCAAAAAGCAGTCCAATATGTGGAGCGTTTTGCCTAAAGGTTAGCTAAAGCTGGGCACTTGGCCCTGTAATGCTTATCGTGACATATGTCGTCTTCCTGGCTTTTTTGCCCACCCATATCATCTGTTTCAGCAGGCCAAAGAAGAGACGGACACACCGATGCCAATGGATTCGTTGCGTCCTCAGATTACTACAGCTCACGATCAACCTGTTGAACAGATGTCAAATTAAATTTAATCTTGATGCCTTTCGCTGTTCTGTGTTCCCATTGAATGATCTCGATAATAGCCTTCACTTTCCTCGAACATATGATTTGTACCGGTTATTGATTGGTTCTATTGAGTTGAGTGACAGCAGATCAGAATATATTTCAAAATTACACTTCAATTTTTCTTGTGCGTTATGTTCAGGGCCAGACTTGGCAGTTAGCCGAGAAGACTTAGCACTGCTATCGAAACAGCACAAGCTATCGGGGTGCCTGCCTGCCTCATTCTTGTTCTGTGCGAAATAGTGCAGTCAAGGTATACTGGAAATCCCTGAGATCGGGTAGGCGTGGCCGCTTCTTCAACTTAACCTGAAGGTGTCTATGCTTCTGGTGAGATATTTCATCTTGACACAATTGTTGTCGTGTCTCTGTCCAACACAGAACAAGATGACAGTTGTCCCAGACTGGAATATTCCACGAGTAACCAGTTCCGTGCCATGTTCAAATGCCACGCCTACTCTGGCTCAGGGATAAGGAGTGTACAGCATGGCTGAGAGTCTCCCATGAGGAGTACATGGTCGCTTGGGAGGATTCGTGTTCGGTCCATGGGTGTCGAAGCTCTCCTCCCTAGTTGGCAGTGCCGTGTATGTATACACAACTACCATACTCGATAGCTGAAGCTAGTAGTTACTTGGTAGCAGCCATAAATTCCACGATGAGAGGCATGATGGGTAGGGAGACTGCAATGGAGGAAGAATTTTCGAAGTTACTAGTCTGACACCATCCCGATTGGTGTTCCTGGCAAATGTAGTGCGGTCCTGTTCGTGCAGATGCAGGGGCGTATCAGGGTTCTGGCTTTGGGGTGGCGCCAGGACTTTTCCCACCAATTAATGTCGCTTACCCTTTTCAACGAATGGTCGAGAACTGAAACGCCGCAGCGAGCAAAGCTGTGGATGCGATTGCGATGATTTCCAACGGTTGATGTTTTTCTGATCCAATCCACAGAAAACAAGCTCACCTATATGCTACATGTAGCACGAGTAAGCATGATGCTAGTTGCATTAGTTCTATTCAGTTCGACCTGGGTTTAGTTAGAAAAGTTTTATGTAAATATGAATAATTCGTATAACAAAATACACACATAAGAAATTTTCTACAAGATCAATTTTCGATCGTAAATCTGAGCGATCTGGTAGTGTTTGCGTGATGAATATGGTAGCGAATCGCCATATTATCAAGCATATCGTTTCAAATAGCACAAGAGTTGCAATAAGGCCTGAAATGGAGAGCAAATCAAATACCTGGCAGATTGGGACGACTGTTTTCTGTAAAAAATGTTCTCACTTACCTATTGGTGGCATTTTTGTATAATCTGGTGGTAGATTCTCCAGTAGTATCGCACCGTTTATAATTTCGACGGCGAGACAAAGCAGCAACCAGATCAAGCCGTGGTGGGAATGTAGAAGGCAAAAAGCGTACGTCAAGCTGAAAAATATTTTCAAATACAAATTTCCTATTTCATAAGCATCGTATGCCCTCCTTTGGAATGCGAAAATTGGGGAGGTTAAACTATCAAAGTTTTCCCAAACGCCGTGACGTGGTGACCTCAGTATCGTATCAGAGCTCTTCTTCACTCTCGTTCTACCTTCACAAAGGTTTCTACAATCATACTATTCACATTACTCAGGCCCAACTGCTCTATCCAGTTGCTAGAAACAACTATCCTGATCTAACAAATGATGGTCGGTGCAACCCATTTTCGATGTCAGGTGGACTTGAAGGCCGTTTCAACTTTTCGAAATTTGGAAAAAAAACTTTGACGGAGTGAATCTAAATCTTCTTGAGCAGTGAGAATACGAAGCGGCATCGAAGCTATAGTCTGATGAGGAAATCACGAACCAGCTAATAGTGAACAATGGCATTGCCATTCGAGTCACGTAATAAATATTGTGACGACGGAAAACCAAATTATACCAATACACAGAGCGGACCATCTTTGGTGGATACCTGAACAGTATAATATGTAGTATCAACTCGAGAAAGTAGTTTTTCATGAAGTAAACGGCAATGGCGAAACAAATTCTGGGAAGACCGATGAGCTCACAGATAAGGAGCTTCTTAGTCTAAGAAATTCGAGGGCAGGGCTATCGTTTTCCCGGAGGAATGGGTGCAGGCTATTGCAAAATTCATGACTCAGTAAAATTGACCTAAGGTACAGAAGAAGTACAAAAACAAGTGCACTAGCTTACAGATCACAAGAGGGGTTGCTCGCTATCACACGGAGGGCGCAGCTCTACGTTGCGGCGAGCGCGCGCGAATTAGCAAAATGTTGCTTGTCTAGTTGACTCAGTGCAGCACCTTCGTGTTGGATTGAGTCGTTTTCCTTTTAATGCCGCTCACGTGACCTCGCTTGTAGGACCTTTTCGCTCATTCGCATCGAGGAAGTGCTGCCCTACATCCCATAATTAGATTGTACATGTAACGACTTAATGGTGAGTACTGCGGTGATATAGCAATTTCCGAAAAATTGCGTAGGTTCTACAGGTACAGGTATGGGCCAGGTATAAGTCGGATTATTCGGTGTTTGATAAGGACCCTAAATGCCGAGTGGCAATCTGTAAAAGCTTGGTTCAAATGGCCGAAGCAATTCTCCGTTTAACTCAGTCCTCAGCAACTTTTCAGTAAACGGTAAAAGCACCAGTCGTTGAAAGCAGGGTACAGATCTGTTGTGGGAAGAACAACAGAGAAGGTCGTATTCGGCGCCTCCGCACAGTTTTGGGAATTTTGTTAAGGATAAGGTAGGCACTAAAAGCAGAGTCGGGTAGTATAGTTGGAAGTGAAATTTCAGAGGTGTGGGTTGTGCTTAGGGAAAATTTTCCACCAACGCAATGAAGTTCCCAGGCTGAGAAACCTTGCATACCTGTCAATATTCTCCACTAGTTTGGATCCTGCTAACAAGTAAACGTTTTTTGAATCGATTCTCTCCAGAACGAAGTCGCCAACGTCCACCTTCGATGGATTTGTACCAGACTTGGATCGGTAGAATGCACTTTTCTCTGCTCACCGTAATTCAGTGAACCTTCATCCTGATGAATTTTTTTTCTTTGCTTTCTTTATCACATCGTGATCAAATTTGCAAATAAATATAGAACGCGATGACTTTGTGCGGGCCTACCATGCGAGCCTCGTGCTGGTGCGGTCATAAGTGTGTCGCATGAGACGTGCGTAAGGTCTGCCGTTTGCCTAGCGCGTTTATACTTCGCGGCTCTTACAATGCTCTTACAACGTGCTCTTACAATTGGAGCGCTTAATGGTTTTACGAGTGTGGAGAGTCCGCAAGTCAGGGCACGTTCGAGGATACCCCTCGCTCGTAATAGGCTACAAAGTATTGAATGGAAATTGACTGGCTTGGCGCCGATTCGGGATGTTTCGGGGCTTCGTGAACTGCTGGATTAATCAATCCCTATCTAACACTTTGTCGACGACCAATTGTGGACTCTCCACACTCGCCAAGCATAAACGCGGTTTTGCGAGCACGCTACCGTGCTCGCGATAACTGGAAGCGGGCCATCCTTGCAACCGAAGTCTCTAACCCACACCCATGCACTGTAATTCTTGATGTTAATTATTATTTAAGAACTTACTTATCTATAGTAAATGGACTATACATTGTAAATGAACAGTTTTGATTGTCGTTTGGATAGTTGTCGTATTCGAAATAACATGATGTTTTCACAAGAATCTTAACCTAAAGTGAAACTAATAGAATATATCGTACAATGTAACTTTGTGAATTCAATTACAAGTCAGCCCACCTCACATTTTAACAAGACCAACAGTGCTGTATGATGGTTAGTTCGGTAGTTTCAGAAGTCAGGATATTCGCTGTGCGGAAGAATCTGAAAAAAAGATTAATCATTTCATCATCTTTATCACTCTCAGTTCCAGATTGTGCACTTATGAGCGTCTATGTGAGCGTTGGTACGTAGCGAGGTAATGCATGCTCTAACCAAACTATACACTGACTTCGGACAGCCCTTGGCAATAGCATGG